AACGTCGCTCCGTGGTCCCGCCGTGCCTTATTCATGCCACACCGGATTAGCAGTTTGAGGTACAGTAGGACATCTGTTGGATGGGACCAAAAGGACCAGCCTACACACCCCACATATATCAGTGAGCTTTGACCACCTGTGCATCGTGACAAGAGCTGCAGTTTTGCAGATGCTCTGACCCAGTTGTCTTGCTATCACAATTTGGCCCACAACTCAGACTCACTCAAATACTTACACTCGCCTATTTTTCTAACACATCAACTTTGAGAACAAAGTGTTTACTTGCTCCCAAATATCGTGACACTCATACGTATCACTTCACCTGTTAGTACTTATAATATTATGCATGATCAGTGTATATTATTAATACAAATAGCAGACACTTCCATTTTCAATATGATGAATTATAAACAAATTATTATGTATGTTTTTTTTAGATGCAGATGTTTTATGCAGTCTCAAAGTTGATTTGAACCAGAGTTTTAAGTGAAAAATTTCATTTGAAAAGTGACGTTTTTATATGATACTGGGACAATCAGTGTGGAGCTTGAATGTTCTTCTTGTATTCATGTACTGTGTAGGGTAATAGATTAACTCTAGTTTATTTCTTTAATTTGGCACCAGAACAACTACATTTCTTTATTATCTAGAGTTAAGCTGAATTCTCTGACACACATAATACTGTCACTAACAGTCACATGGGTCTGTGTTATCACTGGATTGAACATGCACACTAGTGATGGGATTTCCGGCTCTTTTTAGAGAACCGGCTCTTTCGGCTCCGAACCGGCTCTTCAGGTTGTTTTGTTGCTTTAATTAATTTATTATTAACAATAATATATAATTATGCACAAAATGCATTACTAATGTAAAAAAAAAAGTGGTTTTATTTATATATGTTTATATATAAATATATACGGTGGCCCCCAGAGACAAAACACGTACAAACTCCAAAACACATTATAGCGTTAACTGAACTTCCAAAACAGAGCTACCTAGATCACTTAAATTACACAATTGAAAGCATATGCGTATTCT